CCCTGTTGAAATTGATACAATTCTGTTTGCAAGGTGGAAAAATCATGCACACACACACAGCTAATCGTAATTAATTGTATACCCGTGTTATTATTCTTGTGTTTGTTTAAATATTAATACTGATAATGCTGAAAGTGTGCTAAGAGCTGAAGTTTACAATTTAAATTAGAAAAAAAAATTTAAAAAATAAAAACCGTGTAGGGGTTAAACGCAGCATCTTACGATTGTAAGGCAGAGTGATACCAACTACACTAGACATTCATATGACTGAAAGACCTGAAAACATGACCAGTATTGTACACAAGCAGATTGTGCACCAACACAGAAATATCCCACACCAAAACACAGCACAGTTGCACCCCCTGAAATAGTCAACTGTCCGGTCAGCTGTTTATTTTCCCTGGATTTTCCATGTTTGGGGTAACTAAAAAAAAAAAAAACCAAAAATTTCACCTAGTGTGATTCAGTCTCTTCTTGCAACTTTGTGTGTGTCCATATCATGTTATTAAAGAATATAATTGTAACTTTCTTTTATTCATGTATATAAAAATTTTTTTGTTTGGTAGTTAATGCCAGTTTGCCAACATTTGTAGATGGTTTCAGTTGTAATTCCATCCAGACATCAGTGGGTACTGCTCCTTTATATTGTAAAGGACTCTCGACTGCTCCAGTCTTGGAAAGACTGCTAGATATTTTAACTTTCTGATTTAAAAAAATGTGAAAATAGTCACCAAGTTAGAGTTTTGCAACTCAGCTATCCATTGTTGGTTGGCTACTGTTTTTTTTAAACAGGATAAGGGGTAGACAGCCTCAAGCCCAACCCTACCCTTAGTTGCCTTCTACGACATGCCTGGAAGGGTGCAGTGTTACTAGGGATTACGTTTACTGTTTATGTATATGTTTATTCAATGGATCAACATCATGGCTCACAGATGTAACCCATAAGTGCTCCGTTCTACTTCTAACCCAAGCCTGAGTCTGAAGAATCTCAGCACAGTGCACAAACTCCGTAAATCCGGCGAGTATCCTGAAATACTCTGGGTAAATTTTTAACTGCAAATTTTGCAAGGGCAGCGCTGTAAGGCTACTCTTTTTTCGATTTCTAACTGCCAAGGTATTTTTTATGTGCGCAATAATACACACGGTCTTACTACCCAGAGACCAGGGGAAATTACTAGAAGTCAAAATAAAAAAATTCGGGCTTCACCAGGGTTTAAACCCGGGACCTCTAGCACCCAAGGCAGATGGCATACCTCGAGACCACTCAGCCTCCCCTTCCTATGGGTGTTGAGCATCGGTCAGATCCCCTGGTAACTCCCTGCAATGCCATTCTCCTCAACTGTAATGATGTATGTGTGCCTCCGCATTCTTCATTTGCTCCCAAAGGGCCCTCACAACATCTAGCTTGTCATTCATCAGTTCACCACCAACTAGAAGAGATCGTGTGAGAAGTGAAGAAAGTACAGGAACTATTGCCTATAATTACATTCATTTAACAACAAAGACTTTAATGGTTTGACTATTTAATGAGAAGGAATTTAATGATGCTAGCAGTGAGGAGTGTACAACATGAAATTAGAAACACCAGGAGGTGGAAAGGGGGAATGACCAAAAAGAAGATAGATTGAAGGAGTCACTGAAATCTTGACACTCCACAACAGCACAGCATACAGAGCAACCGGACGTGCCATTGCTTTAAAACCGATCTTCTGTTAACCAGCTATGCCTAGTGGCACAGAGCAGAAAATGGGCAAAAGAAAAAGAAGGAAAGTGCTTGTTTCTTTAAAGACACATAATAAGGGCACTTTATATAATTACCTTGCATGTCCATCAGAGATGACCAAGGCAGACTGCTCACCACAGAACAAAAACAAGACATGCAGTGGACTAAACACTTCTCCGACCTCTTGAACAGACCTGATCCTGAAAATGCCCCAGATATTCAATCACCCTCTCAGGACATTGACATTATTACTGAACCACCAAGCAAACAAGAAATCCTTAAAGCTATCCACACTTTAAAGAACAACAAAGCACCAGTCAAAGACAAACTGCCAGCAGAACTTCTCAAAGTAGATCCCAACACAACTGCTAGCATTCTAGAACCATTGTTCAAGGATATTTGGAAAAAAGAAGTGTTGCCTGATGACTGGACTGAAGGAACAATAGTCAAAATCCCAAAAAAAAGACTTAACAGCTACAATAATTGGAGGGGAATTTATCTACTCTCAGTACCAAGCAAAATATTTTGTAAAATCATCATAATGCGGCTTGAAAAAGGAGTAGATAAATGCCTACGAGTGGAACAATCAGGATTCAGAAAGGGCAGGGAACAACTGAGCACATTTTTGACATGGAAAACTGCACTTAAGATTGCACAGGACAGGAAAGCATGGAAAGTCCTCTCTGAAGCCTCATGTGCCACTTGGCATAACGAGAACTGATGATGATGATGACATGTCGAATGTTGTTGAATGTTAAATTAAGAATCAACATAGCACTCGGGACACACCCATCTTCAGCAGCAAACGAAGAGTTCCAATTCCAATGGCACCAGTAACTGCCTGATTGTATATCCATCTCACCCTTCCCTTGAGTGTTGAGTATTGGCCAGATCCCCTGGGAACTTCTCGCAGCGCCATTCTCCTCAGACCGTAATGATCTATCCATACTGTTCCCTCGCTTCCAGAGGGCCCTCACAATGTCTAGCTTGTCATACATCAGTGGTGCAGAACCAGCCAGTCTATCTGCCTGCTCATTTCCCAACACACCAGCATGACTTGGAGAGAATATCCAAAGGATACTAACTATCCGGGACCTCCAAAGTGATGCCTGACATTACCTGACATAAAATCAGAAAGCCTTAATATCACTTTGACCATGGCAGTAAGATACTATTTAATCACTTTAAGGGTCTGCATGACTAATATCTATTTACTGTCATAATTGTAAAATTGTATCACCTGTTAAACATAGTTATTGCTCTTGTGCCAAAGATGGCGCATAGGGCAGAGGTCATAGCTTTCCACGTCTGTCGGTTCTTTGCCACTTGATGTAGGTCTTGAGTGCGACTGAGACCTATGGTTGAGCTCTCCCTTGTGATGGTTCTACGGAGAGTTTCTTTTGGTCTTCCCTGTTTTCTTTTACCCCCTGGTGACCATATGAAGGCTTGGTGGGGAAGTCTCTGTATGTCCATTCTGAGTACGTGACCGATGTAATTCCAGCGACGCATTCTAATTTTTTTTTTTTTTTTTTTTTTTTTTTCATCGAACACTGGCTGTGAATTCCAGTGGAAGGTCCCGGTTAATCGTCCGCTTGGACTTTTGGCCTTCACCTGGACCTGATTTTTGCGTGTACAACCGTTTTTCATTTCCCTTCCTCTTGGGCAGCTGTACGCCGACTTCGAAGGAAGACGTCAGGCCTATTTCTAGGGTGACTGTGGCCATTGTTTTGTGTGGGTCGAGACTTTGCCTGATTTGTGTGGTGTCCGCCTTGTCTCCTTCGCCGCAGGTATTGCCCCCGGAGTACCCCTTTGGGGCAGCCCCCTGTGGAACAGTTGGCCCTCAAGGGAAGGCAGGGGCAGATCATGGGCATTCCCCGCCATCCAAGGAGGCTTCCATGCATGCAGAGCCGGCACATGGCGCTCTGGTTCTGGGCTCACCCAAGGAATCGTCACGTCCTGCACATGCCTGCTTAACCTCACAACCGTATCAGGCCTCCCGCTCGACAGGGGCTGCGCCCTCTGGAAGTCAGCGGGGAGCAGCCCGTTGGTTTTGGACTTTTGTGACCACACAGATAGGTACATTAGCCCGACAGAATTTCACATCCTGAATCAGGCGTATCGTTACCAGTTTTGTCCCAACACTCGGGCGAGTGGGGTCTTTGGGTGTGGACATTCGGCCTTTATCATTTCAGTGCAAATTTTGATGGTCAGATTTTGATCCGTATGATCTAGTTTTGTCGGACATTTAGGCTTAGCCATCCGATAGATGGTTGCTGTTGTGGTGCACCTCAGCGCGGTGACGACGACACTGAGGGCCAACCGAAGATGCACAAGGATGGCCAGCCCATGTATTGTTGCTGTTGTGGTGCACCTCAGCGCGGTGACGACGACACTGAGAATTAACCGAGGATGAGCATTGAGCAATGTTCTCTTTACACAGCAGTCTTTTAACCAAGGGTTGTAATTTTAGCTGTACTTTTGTCGAACCTACTCATGTTCCTAATGAGTTTTGATAACATTTTTCACCCAAGCGTTTGGGGGCGGGCTGATGAGAGCCACAAGGACACATCACCTCTGGGGGCCGCCAAACTCCGAGATCCCCTGACAGCTCTGTTAATGCTCATTTGAGACATTATCCGTGGCGCACGACGAGGACGTGCTGTAGGGGTCTTGCGTGAGGTTCCGTACAACCAGGATAGCAAAGGACTGGCGCCCGAGTGACGTACGGAGTATCTCCTTATACACATCATGTTGGACTTAACTTCCCCTCACGCCTGTGTCATAAATCACCGCGCCACACGCATTCTAATAAAATCAGACACATATTTTTGTTTTGTTTCCTGTCTTATAGATGTATTGGACCTAAAGTCCGACCAGTGAACATTTAATAGCTTTCGGAGGCATCTATTCTCGAAAGCGACTAGTTTCTTATCGATTGATACTGATGATTTCCAACTCTCACAACCATAAGTTAGCACTGGGATCACACAGGAATTGAAGACCTTAAGTTTCGTGTTGTTGCTGAGTTAAACATACTTTCATTTATTCATTTTAATAATATTGTAATTAATGCTTCAGTTTTCATGAACATATGTCCAGTAATGCTGATTATCTATTGTTGTTGAAATTTGGTATGTCATTTCTGATATCCATTAAATAGGAGTTTGTAAAACTGGGATTAGAGTGCATGATGAGACTAAAATTCTATGTGTGTCAGATTTTTTTTTTAAATTTTGGAATTACATTATTCACAATGAATTCTTTCTTTTTGTCACAGTTATGTCTCTCATCTCCCAAAAGAAGGAGAAACCGTAATAGGTTACAAGTTTGATACTGGCTTTGGAGGTAAAGGGGCAAATCAATGTGTAGCTGCAGCAAAACTTGGAGCTAAAGTGGCCATGATTGGTAAAGTAAGCACAGTAGGCTTTTTAATTTGCATTTACAATTGGAAGACAGCATCATACTCCAATCAGTTGTTAGTTGTCATGTTTGAAACATAATTAACATGCTATGTTTATTTCTTTATTCATTAGTCTCTGTATTTGAGAACTGCCAGCTGATCAGATTTAAGATTTACCTGTAGTAATCCAGTATTTACAAATAAGTCTAACAGAGAATGACAAATATATGAATAAATTAAGCAAGTTGTAAACTGCTCTGTGTGTGTGAGTCTGACATGTATAAATGTGAAATGTTTGTATGTGTAGGCGTGTCTGATTACTTATGATTCTGAATATGTTGTTTGTCTGCTTGTATATCTGCGTGTGTGTGTATGTGTGTGTGTCTGCGAATGTAAGCGTTTGTGTGTGTCTTTGTGTATGTGTCTGAATGTGTGTGTGCGCACATATGTTCAGTGTATGTTTCACTATGAATTTGTCAGTGTGTGTGTGTTTAAATGTTCCTCTTTGTTGTGTATGTGTGTCTGCGTGTGTGTGTGTTTTTGTCTGCATATGCATTTCTGCATGTGTGTCTATGAGGCTGTATGTGTGTGTCTGTGTGTGGGTGTCTGCATGTTTGTCTGCATGAGCATACTGTTTGCATACGTTTGTGTGTGTCAGTGAGTATGTCAGTGTGTATGTCAGTGTGTGTGCATGTATGTATATATGTCTGCTGTGTATCTGCGTGTATTTCTGTGTGTGTGTGTTTATGTGTCTGTGTGTTTATGTGTCTGTGTGTGTGTGTGTGTGTGTATGTTTGTCTACGTGAATGTGTGTTACTCTGTGGGTGTGTGTGTCAGTGTGTGAGTCTGCGTGTGTGTCTGTGGGAGTGTCCATGTGTGCATGTGTGTGTTTCTATACATGCCTGTATGTATGAATGTATGTGTGTGTGTGTGGTGTTTGTCTGTCTGTGTGTCTGTGTGTGTCTGTGTGTGTGTGTGTGTGTGCGTGCGTGCGTTTGTTCGTTCTCTGTGACTTCCTGCATATCATTCACATCTAAACCTGATAGAGCATGTTTGGGCTAAAGTCAAAAGACAAGTTGCAGAAAAGAACAGTACATTTACAATGTGTGATGTTGAAGTTCTGACACGTGAGTTTCTCTCGACAATAGACATTCATTTCTGGAAAAAGTGTGCTATGAGAGGCAGATGAGTACTGGCACCAAGATGGATTACAATTTGTTCAGCTAGTAACAGTTTTCAACTTTTTGTGATCGTCAGATTCAAAATGATTAAAACCATTTTTTGATGAGTGGTTGAATATCATCAACTTGTTAGGTACATCTACAGTTGCAACAAATACATCTCCATATCCAAATGTGTCAACCATAATACAATTTGCTGTGCAGTTAAGATACACCCTAGGGTCTAATGGTGACCGAAGAGAATACTAACTATTGCATACTGGGGACATGTTTACAATTGAACAAGACAGATAGATTGGCTGGACCTGCGTCACTTTGGTGGTGAATTGATACCTGACAAGGCAGATGTTGTCAAGGCCCTTTTGGAACAAGTAACGAAGTAAAGAGAAAATAGATTATCATTGCCTGGAGAGAATGATACACCTAAATGTGACCAGAGGGCCTGGTCGGCAAACTTTACTCAGAGAAAAGGCAAAATGGACACATAATCAGACTGCCTCCGGTACCATTAATATTGCAACTCTGCGCTGGCTGCTGAAGATGTGAACGGAATGCATATGTGAATGCTTGAGTGCTGTGATGTCTTTCTTGACTCAGCTCAACTCAGCTCCATTGAACATAAATGACAAAAAATAAATTTACTTCACCTATCAATGTATTTTGAAGACAGACCTCTGAACAAAAATGGAAATTCAGATGTTTACTTTAAAATCTAAAAGTTCACTCTAATTATTTACAATGGTTAAACAGATCAAAGGAATTTGCTGATATTCAGCGTCCTGAGCATCTGTAGACTAAAGAATACCACTATTTTTGCGTCTAGGCAGTTTTCAAGAAAATGGCTTGCATGTGTGTTTATCTGTTGTTGAACGAACTATAGCAAAGAATCATCACCTTCACAGAGCATGTCTAAGTGATCCAAAATCTGCATCAAAGAGAGATGCCTTAAATAATATTTGGAAATCAGCCCAGCTGAAACTCTGCTAGATGTGAAACAACTGTTTGAGAAAAAAAAGTAGACGAAATTCAGGCATTTGCAGATAAGCATGACATAAACACTTTTATGATTCCTTAAGAGCAGCCTATGGTCCAGTATCATCAGGATCTACTCCCCTCCTCAGTGCCAATGGAAAAACACTTATCTTGGACAATGCGAACTTCCTTAAATGCTTGGTGGAGCATTTTGAAAGTGTCCTGAACCAGACATCTTCTATAAAGGATAAAGCCCTAGAACGCTTGCCTCAAGTTCCCATAAACAACTCACTCGATGACTTACCTACCCTGGCTGAGACAACAAATGCCATTGGTCAACTCTCAAACGGTAAAGCTCCAGCTGCCGACTCAAAAGCAGCTGAGATTTACGAGACATGTGGCAAGCTGGGTGGAGAAGCTTCATAAAATTTTCCAGCTGATATGGCAAAGTGAGACTGTCCTACAAGACCTAAAAGATGCCTCAATTGTTAACCTCTACAAGCGAAAAGGAAATCGCATGGCCTGCGACAACCATGGGGGCATCTTCCTGTTATCTGTAGCCAGAATCATCCTGACTCGCCTTACAGCACACCTTGATCAAAGTCTTCTGCCTGAGAGTCAGTTTGGCTTCCGGAAAGATCGAGGCACCATTGACATGATATTTGCTGCATGGCAGCTGCAGGAAACATTTCAAGACCAAACTGTTGATTTGGTCTGTGCCTTCGTTGACCTGACCAAGGCCTTCGACACAGTCAGTAGAAATGGACTGTGGAAAAATCATGGCAAAATGTGGCTGCCCACAAAAGTTTGTAGCATTAGTGGAGCAATTTCATGAAGGAATGCAAGCAAGTGTTCAGGAAAATTGACAGCTCTCAGAGCCATTTATGGTCTCAAATAAGGGTAAAGCAAGTGTGTGTGCTTGTACCAGCACTGTTCAACTATTCTCTACTATGCTGATTGATGCCTTGAGAGATGGGGACGTTGGTATCTCACTGTCATATATCATATATCACACTGATGGTGGTCTAATTAATCTCAAGAAGCTAAGTACTAAAACCAGTGTTAAGTCAGACACCATGAGAGAATTACTTTTCGCTGATGACTGTACTATCTGTGCCAGCTCAGAGCCTGAACTACAGCTTAGTTGTAACCAAATTATCCAGACCCTGTACAAATCTTTGGGCTTGTCATAAGCACTGACAAAACTGAAATAATGTTCCAACCCCAGGTACAAGCCTACCTGAACCAAACATCACAGTCAAGGGTAAAGCACTAAAGACAATAGACAGATTTACATATCTTGGCAGCTTACTCACTCAGAAAGTTAACATAAATCTTGAGATCAATACAAGGATATTCAAAGCCAGTAGCACATTTGGTAGACTTCATACAAAAATCTGGAATAGAGCTGGCGTATGCCTGCAGACGAAGCTCATTGGGTACAAAGCTGTCATACTTCTTGTACTTCTTTATGCATGTGAAACATGGACTGTTTACCAGCTAAGAAGCTAAACCATTTTCACACAGTATGCCTCAGAAAGTTGCTGAACATAAAATGGCAAGACAGGATCCTTGACACTGAAGTCCTTAAAAGAGCTGGACTGTCCAGTATTTAATAGATTCTAAAATAATCAGCACACAAACAAGGACTTGATATAGTCACGGCTCAACCAGGAGCAGACTGAAAGAGTCAAGGAGTTTTGCAATTTTTGTTTTCAACTAACGAACTAATGAACGAAATCAAAACTTTGCTGGGCAGGTCATATAGTTCGCATACTTGACCACCAACTGCCAAAAAGAATTTTCTGTGGCGAGCTACCAACAGGAAAATGCACCCAAAGTGGACAGAAGAAACATTTCAAAAACAGACCTCACTGAAAGATCTCTGTACTGATCCTAAAACCTGGGAAGTATCTGCATGTGACTGCTCATCCTGGTGCTCCTCTCTTCATCGAGGAGCTGTGGCCCAGGAAGCTGCTAGAACCACAGCAGCAATTCTGAAAAGACAGGCCAGGAAAGTCACTGAAGCAAATCAGCAGAGAGATGCGGCTTCTATTCCCTGTCCACATTGCTCAAGAACTCTAATTGCTAGAATTGGCCTTATCAGCCATCTGCACACTCACAAAACCTAATCCAGTCACCACTGGATGAAAGGACTGGTCATCATCATTTGTAATGGACGAACAACACATCTGGTATTATTTCTTTTAATTTCTGTTGGATTGACTCTTTCACCATTTGCCATTGCCTATCTACACTGCTGTTTTTTTTTTTTCAGTAGCACTGTATCTGTTTTGTAATGTGAAGGCATTTGTCTTTTTCATTTCTTGATTTTGCATATAGATCTTAATACTGGACCATTCGCTGATGAATTTCTGTAGGTTTCACCCCTTCTTTTGTCAATATCTGCTTATGTAGGCATTACAGTTCATTAGAGGATCGGCAGCCGAACTATATAAACTGGAGAAGTACAGTGGTCTGGACAGTGACACACCAGTAGACTAAAGAGTAGCGACAGGCGTGGCGTCAAGGAAGTACCCCACCAAATGTGTCTTGATAGAGACTAGTTCTTACTGGGAATGAAACCAAATTACCCTGTATGAATGACAGTGACTGCCTCCATAGAAAACCTAGTTAGACAAGGAAAAGAAGCATGCAGCTGGACATCATCATCAGTTCTCGTTATGCCTAGTGGCACATGAGGCTTCAGAGAGGACTTTCCATGCTTTCCTGTCCTGTGCAATTTTTAGTGCAGTTTTCCATGTCAAAGATGCCGCACTCAGGTCGCTTTCCATGGTTCGTCTTCAAGTTGTTTTTGGGCGCCCCTGTTTTCACTTTCCCTCTGGTGTCCATGTGA